GTGTGTGTGTGTGTGTGTGTAGCTGGAGGGTTATTGAGGATGCATAATATGCGACTATTCTGACCGGGGAGTGGAAGTAGAACTGCAAAGACAGTATGAAAATAAAACCGAACGAGGCCAAGATAAATTGCTGCATACTGGCCACCGTAATTAAGCAGCCGACATGATTTAAAAACGGATCTATTCATAATATAATCGCAGTGATGCATCAATGTCCCTTATAATGTGAGAGTTTCCAAATACATTTTTCACGGTTCAGTTCAAGTCAATTGTTGAGTACAAACGTGAAGTGTGTGTACGTGTGAGAAAGTTGGTAATGTGAGTCGACTGCGCGACAGCAGGAGCATTATGGCATTAATACTTATCTGTCAGTGGGGGGGCTGTAAATCTCTTCAGGGTGAGACTTCACCATCTACAAGACGTTTTGGTCGGACTCTGACAGTTCTGTAAAGCTGCAGATCTAAATACCACACCAAGAATTTGTCACACTTCTTATCAAGTTCATGAATATTTCAGATTCAGATTCAAATTATTTGCTAAAAACACTACAATTGTGCCAAGGACAATAAAATGGATCCATTTGAACATTAAATATATACCGGTATTATTTTTGCGGGGTATTCAATTCAATATAGGTTGAACATAATTTTCAAATCATTGTATTCTGTTTTTATGTAACACTTTATCCCAACTTCATTGGAGATGGATTGGACTTCTTGTGTACCGATTGATGTGAACGGCTGCCAATTTGATCCACATTTCTTCAGTAAGAAATTTGCTCAAATAATTTCAAATCTCATCGTTGTTTCACCCACTTGCATTTTATGATGACCTTTGACCTCTGCTATTTTTTTTCCCCCTCCATCAATTGTCACCCAATTTAGTTCAAATGTGATGTAAAAGCAAACGTAACAACAAATATTTGATACAGCATACTGATAAGTGGAGCTATTTTCAATAACATACAGAAAACAAAACAAAACCAAAAAATAATTGAGCTATTTTTAGAAGACTCACGTGGGCTACTCAATTGGTTCTTGCGAGTTACCTGGTGCCCGTCGGCACCGCATTTATGATGCCCGTGTTAATGCATGTGTGCACCGCAAATGCCACTCCACACAAGTATGGGGTTTTTTTTCTTTTTCTTTCAAGGTCAGAATAAATCAACAGAAATTACACAGCTGCCAAAACCCATTACTGCACAATCATGCAAAACAGGGCCCACCCAGCAGGCAGTGTAAACACACACACACACACACACACACACACACACACACACACACACACACACACACACACACACACACACACACACATATGCACGTCACACTCCCACCAGACAAAAGTCCGCAGCGTACACACGCAGTGGCTCACCATCCCACATAATATTTTGATGGTCAGCGTTTAACCTTGAATGTGTACAAAAACAGTGAAGATGAGTTAACACTCATAATGCTACATTTACTAATATCTTGTCAAGACTGGCTTATTCAGTATTAACACACACACACACACACACACACACACACACACACACACACACACACACACCGATGACTTTGAACTCCCACAGCGGGCACTGAGCTACAGTATTTCACGCTGTTGGCCCATGCAGGCTGTACACAGGTACACGAATAGAACATGTCACACAAATCCACAGCCAAATGTCTGGCAAGTGGTGATGTAATGGCGACAAGAGTATATACTGTAATGCAGAGTTTATCAGCAAAGCAGTGTCCCGTAATCAACTTGTTGTATCTGCTAATGATGATGAGAACCTTATTTACTGATCCTAATTTCAAAGCCAAACCCTGTCTTGAAATATTGATTGCATATTATACAGCTGTTTTTAAAGGTCATTTGAAACCTGAACCCAAGTTTGAAACCATAATTTCAAATCAGATTTTGTAATCCTAAACTTGGTTTGAAACCAGAATTTTAAACCTTTGTCTTGAAAAGACTAACCAAGTTTTAAAACCCTAATTTGAAATCCTACTTTAAAGCCAGTTCATTTGAACCCCAAACACAAGTTTACCTTCATTTCAAACCATAACACCTGGCTTGAAACCCTAATATGAAACCTTATAACCTTTACTTGAAGCTATAATTTGAAACCCTGAACTTGGCTTGAAAGCTGACTTAAAACAATGTGAAATACTAAAGTGAAACCCGAATTTGAAGCCCTACCTTCAATCTATTCCCCCAGTTTAAAACCTTAATTTGAAATCCTTAAAATTTCTCTCACACCCCTTCATGTCTTCATTGAAATTGTCAACTATCCTGCAACCACTTTCCGTGTCATTGTGGTTTCCCTTCCTTGCACTAGGTGAACCCTCCCTTTTAACATCATTCTTTCCAATTTTTCACCTGCAACACAATCAATTTTACTGGGCACTGAGTGTCAGGATGGAAAAAAGAGAAAAGATTCTGTGCCTCAACATTTGAATTTAGAAAAAAAATAGCACTAATGTATGGTTTTGAACACACCGTCGATACTAGCAAAATTATGTTAAGACAATGACATGAACAGAGATGCAAAAAGCAATCAAAATTGCATCCGGTCGAGATCGTTTGCAGAAACGTTGCAGTATGCTGCCCCCTGCCGAGAGACCAAGGAACACTCTGGACTCGCACTGGCAGAAGATCAAAAGAGAAGAAAAAAAAAATCCCATTTCTTTCTGTTTTCATTCCCTCCCTCTTCTTACATGATAACCATTGTGCATGTGTAGTGTTAAGTGTGGAATGGCGATTGGATTCGGTGTGCTTGTGCCATTTTCTGTCCACACACAAGCCTAAAAAAAAGATTGCAGTCATCTCTGAGCAAGCAAGGCTGACTTTTTGGCCGCTCCACATCGTGTGCTTCTTCTCGCTCGGCGCCGTCCCCGCAAGCTCCGCAACCCAGAAGCGTGAGTCAACTAATCCGCCGCTTTCTATCTTTTTCATTCTCTTCTTTTGCAGACTTGCTCCCTCATGTCTTCCCGCATCTGTCTCACTGCACCTGCATCCGCCCTGCAAATCCGCCATGATTGCGTGCGCCGCACAGCTGTTTTATTTTGGTAACACCGCAACGGTAAAGACTCGCGGTTCTCCAAAAAAAAACACTATTTCATTACACTATAAAAGTGCATCAGTCACCATCCATTCAAATGGCAAAATTGATTAAAAAAAACTCACTGAACAGCAAAAAGGGAGTGATTCAAATCACAACCTCTAAAATGGCCGAATTGCAACGTCTTCATACATGGCTTATTGATCTTTTTGGACCCCCTCTCTTGATACATACCTCATATACGTAGCACAAGAAACTGTGACTTTGTGGACTTCACTTTCTTATGTGAAATCAAAAGAAAGACCCATTGTGCACTTCCTTCAGAATATTTATTCTTAAAAATGAGTAAGCAGACAGTTCATGTGTCCTGTGAACACCAAAATGTGTGTAGAACAGTACAGAACACGTTTTTTTCCATTAAAGTTCTATGACGACAAAGAGATTTTTGAGCTGCATATCAAAAGGACCTTTTAATTTGACAGCGTGTTCATCTGGAGATACAGAGCACAGATTGCTACAAAGTGAACAAGCGTAGACGAAAGTGATCAGTGTCATATGACGTGGCTAATACATGTGAGTGAGAAGGGAGGTGGTGGGGGAATGAAATGATTTGTGTTGAAGAAGAACGTCACAGCTTGGGCAGGAGGGGTCACCACCGTGTTAAAAAAACACACTTCCATCCATTTTCGCTCATCACTTACTTTATCCCACACTAACCTTCACATATTTCTCTTGCTTTCTTTGCCCCCCTCCTGGAAAAAAAACTGCAGCTTCCCATCGCCCTCCACAGTTGCATTTTCACCAAGCACTGAGGACCAGAAGGCTCGGGGATTTGAGCACGCATGGGGCAGGAAATAAGTGAGGATGGAAGGTTGAATGGCGTTACAGGAGCGCTGATTGAATGATGCTGATATGGAGCAACAATGAGGCCAGCTCATTTGCCTGAATTACATGGGCGACATGGTCAGACTAGCATTATAGAGATTCTCAACCACTGGGGCATCATCAGGTGTGCTGTGGGGATTTATCCAATTTAACTGAATTAGTCCAGAAATCATACTGTTGATTTACTACAAATCGTGTGTGTGTTGGGGGGGGGTTCTCATCTATCTATGCACCACTCTAAATTGTCCCTCGGCGTGATTGTGAGTGTGAATGGTTGTTCGTCGATGTGTGCCCTGCGATTGGCTGGCAACCAGTTCGGGCTACGACCCGCAGACAGGTGGGATAGGCTCCAGCACGCCCGCGACCCTTGTGAGGATAAACGGATTAGAAAATGGATGGATGCATCTATCAATGCCAGTGACATATAGTGATAGGCAGATCAATTAAATGATCTGTGTAACCTGTGTATCCACCTGTTGCCATGTATATAACAGAATAAGTCATGCCACACAAGCGTAGTAAATGCATTGGTAAATAGAGTCGAGATTATAATTATTTTTGTATATACTGTGTTTTTGTGCAATTTTTCTCAGGTTAAATATGTACCTTGGCTCCAAAAAATGTGGAATATAATGATTGAGACTATGGGGACGGGCATTGGAATTAGTCCACCGCTTAAGAATCGTGTGGAATTACATATTTTCACTCATGCTAGTTGGCAGCCATTGGCAGAGTACGCTCTCAATTCAAGCTCAAAATGGTTGCTGCCCTAAAGAAGTGGGAGAGATTTCTGCTCGACAAGGAGATCCACCGGACGCGACTATGTGGATTGAAACAGAAGTTCAGATCTTTCTTTGAGACGCGTCATTTGTAACCTGCTGTTGTCATGCTAGCGACATTAGCTTAGCATTGTCATGTAACGTTCCTCAAGAGCTGCAGGTATTTTATTTTATGTCAGGTTCACCTTTTACTGTATCTACCATTATCGCTTGTAATTTTCATGAGATATGTGAAAAAGTAGTATTTTGAAAAATGCATTTCTAGTTAGCCACTTTTACCTTTTTTCCATGCCACTATTCTGTGTAAACACCTGTGACGTGGCCCAATTATCTCGCACTGTTGTTGTTGTTTTTTTTTTTTTTTTTTTTTTGCAATTGTCGCTGTCCTACAAATACAGGACTTGCGGTATAAAAGCAGTGGTCATATCCCACCAGTAGAAAAAGTGGCAAATGTCCGAACATGGGTATTAGCTATGACTGACAATCCCCGGTACAGTGTGTTGAAAGCAATTGGCATTTTCTGACAACTATCTTCGATCAAATCATGGCCAATCCATTTAAGGGCCAGTCGTACTGATCCAAAAGTCATGAAATAAGATGATTACGATGACGATTACATTCGGTGCATTACGTTGATTTGTTTACAGCCTTTCAACCAAGATAGCGTTTAGCAGCCAAAGTAGCACAACCACTGTCCACCAGATTGATTCACGATGTTTTAGCTTTTTTTTTTTTCTGTCGAAAAAAAAAGGAGGAGCCCCTCCTTTTCCCCGCTTGAAGCACCTGAAGCACAAACATACCCGCGTATGTTTATTCACGGGTGAAGTACAGGGGGCGCTACAATATTTCATGTTTGATCTGAACCTAGCATTAAACACCATACACAGCCATCGCCATCCATTTAATTATCTATGGGATTACAGTATCGAGTTTCTGTTTGAAAGCTCCAAAAACATCGCTCCATTCTGACGCAACCATTTTTTGCTGGGGTCTGGAGTGAAAGAGGTGAAAGATGAGAAGGGGGTAGGTAAGAGCACAGACAGCCCTTGCAATTTTGGCGTGATGTGTGACATGTCCTCCTCTCAAGGCAGCACGGGGATGAGAGTGCAGGGGCGGAAGCCTATCTGTCCGTCAGTCACTCTGTGTTGAAAGGCTCAGCATAATTACTGTGAAATGACACACATGCAGACGTAGAAGAGGGCAGAGAGAGAGAGAGGGAGGTGGTTTGTTCTTTTTTCTTCTTCTTAAGACTCGGCCTGCCGGTCGCTCGCAGCTGTGTGAAGATTTTCTGAGGTTTTAAACCGAGTTTGATTTACCCATCGATGTCACTGCGAAGCTCCCGCAGCAGAGACGAGGAAAATCACAAAAGCCCCTCAGGACCCAGTATAGCTTAACGCCCCGATCGATATCCTCATCACATCTTTCTGCTAAATCCAATAATGTGATTTTTTTTTTTTTGTTTGTTTCTTTAGTTTTTGTCTTTTGCTATTGTTGCTACGCGACGACAAATTCAATGCAATCCGTTCACCGTAAAAGGATAATATCCAGTCAGAACTCGATTACATTCTGAACGTTATTGGCATATTTAAAGTGAACTGTTTGTCGTGAAATTAATCTTTTTGCCACGTATTTATTTTGTTGTGTCAGATTTCATTAAGGTTAGCCACGAGTAGTGCCACTTCACCTCACGAAGATACTGCAGCTGATCCTCTTGAATCAAATGCAGTATCTTAGTGAGGTGAAGTGGCACTTGACATCACATCTCATGAATCATCCATGCATTCATTTGCTCATCTAAGACCATTTTACATACGCAATCATGTATATAAGCACAAATTGTATAATGCAAACACAATAATGCATGTGTCTTTTTTTAACGTTTTGGTCATAGTGTCTAATTTGAAATGTTTTGACTACAAATTAGACAACATTGAAACAGGACTTTAGGATTTGACAGCGGAATGTCCTCACACGGCATGTTTTACTGCTTTTCAGTGTCCTCACACCACATGGACCCAAAGCTGCTACATTTGAGACATTTGGGCACCTCGTATCAAATACGAGGCACAAGATGTGTGTACTTGAAGCCTTTTACGACACAACAGTATTGTTGTCAAGGCACAGGCACTAATGCGGTCAGCTATCAGCAATCTCAACGTACGTCATCAAAATCAACTTTTAACTATTAAATGGTTAGCAAAGAAAGCGTCCGCTTTAGTTTCGAGGTTAAAAGAACCCGACAAATGTGTTATCAAAGTTTGTGCAAAACATAAACAGTCTAAGTATCTGGTGATACATTTTTTCTTTTTTTTCTTTTTTACAAAATCGAAATAAGCCTTTGAATTGTTTCGTATTTCTGACACGGCAGCCGATGTTTGCTGTCTTTTTTTTTTTTTAGGGGTTGGACTTAATTGAGATCAGCAAGTCAGTTAGAAATGTGTTTCTTTCTCTGAGACAGTGGATATTTTCCCATCAGCCTTTAGCATGGCGTCATTGGCGGCACATGAACTGAGGGCAGCGAGCTTCCCTCGCATCTTCAGGTCTGGGCTGGGCGTCGTCAACTTCTTCATTCTCTGCAAAGAAATTAGGAGAGGAGAGGGAGTTGAGCTTCTGGTTCTGGTCGGCACTCCCTTGTGCAAGGTCGCTTGGTACGTCTTTATTGATTGATAGATTTTTCTATCTACTGTGAAAACTCAGAAGCTGGCTGATGCCTCTTCTTCTTTGTGTGTTTGACAGTTTGGCACCTCTATGATACGCATTACTGCCCCTATCAGGACTGGAGTGGAATAATGTCAATCACAATTTTATGAACAGTACTTGTGATTCATAAGCTACAGAGTGATGTTGTAGTTTTCATGGTTTTACTTCCCTGTAAGGCTCCATTCGCACACTGCCTTTCCAGCAGCTCCTATATTTTGTTGTTCTACTTCTTCCTTTCATAACTTTGCTGCTGTGAATTGGGAATTTCTCCATTGCGAGACTAATAAAGGTTTTCTTATCTTAAAATCTGCATCGTCATAAACAGGTACAGCCAATGATAAACATTGCACTGCCATTAGAGAGAATGTGAGCGACTCTACTTGTTGAAAGGGTTGATGGTAATAAACGAGAAATAGTGCAATACAATCACCATCAACAACCAATACACGTTAGTGACAGACACATAATGATGAAATGGTTTATGGATTATAGTGTACATGTGACCTGCTAAGATTGACATCTTGACCAGTTAAGAATTTGGAGCTTTTGGAAGCTTCTCAAAAAGTCGAGCAGGCTTTTTTTTTGGGGGGGGGGGGGGGGGGCAATACAGTACAGGCAAATGCAAAGGACACTGGGACTTCCACACTGTACAAAACACAACTTTTTGGGGACTAAAACTGAAACTTAAGTTGGAAGAATTTGATGATATATTATTGACATTTACGGCAATAATATTAGTTTGCACAACTAAGCATGCAAAAGCTATTTGTTCCAAAATAATTTGCTGAGTTGTTTTTGCTCATATTTTTCAAATGGGGGACAATACAAGGGACAAATAGTTCTGTAAGCTGTTTGTTCTGATCTGTGAAATGCTGGAAAGCCCCTCCCCTTCACATCTGTCCGGCATGACAATGCTTTCTCCGTACTACGCTTATATGAGGAGCGGCAATTTTACACAAGCTTTCTCTGGGCGTTTTTTGCTTCACTCAAACTGGCTGTGGCTATTAACACTGTTGTTATCAATGAGGGACCATTTGCAAAAAGGCAGGCAATTTCTCTGCCAACCACATGCATATTACCTCATTTAAATATGCGCAATCTGCTTGAGACCGCAGTTAGTGAAGCATTTCACAATCTGCGGGTGCTTTGAGAATTCGATATGTTTGCTCTATTTTGACCGGGTAGTGCCACACAAAAGCCGCGCAAAAATCCTTAAGTGAATTCGCCCTTCAGTCTTCAGTACCTTGTGCTGAAGGTCTGTGTGCAGATGTACGTGGTTTTACCTCAGAGAAAGTTCCAGGAGTCTTCCAGATCATCCAGATGATCCCCAGAGGTATACACACCATAGAAGACATGGCCATGAACCAGCCGATGCCGTAGCCCCAGTCGGGATAGGTGTACACGTTGTTGTATTTAAGCGGTTTGTATTTGATCAAGAAGAACAAGAAAATACCCTGCAGCACAAATGATCAAATATACTTTTAAAAAGTGAATCTTTTATTAATTAGCGGTGAGAAAAAACATTTGAAAAGTCTGTCAGAATCATTATGGAATTCCCAACATGAACTTCGGGGTGGTGGCAACTCATTTGTCAGGCTGCTGTGCTCATTGGTTCATGAGTGAGCGGAGCCCTTGAGCAAGGCGACGACCCAAACAGAATAACCCCCAATTCGTGATGTCCTCAGTTAATGACTGAGTTCTGTATCTAATACGGCAACGTAACTTAAGTTTGCACTCAGGTCGGAATCTAACCTACATTAATGTATAGTAGTAGTTAAGTCATAATTAGAGTCATGACTTGGATGAAAAACACCTCCCTGCCATAAATATAAAACAAATGTAAAACAAAGTGATGCGGCAACCGAGTGTGTCTTCTCGCACCACGTGACGACATATTCTTACACATGAAAATTGCAACCGGGGAAAGAGGGGTAATACATGACATACTCTGTCCTTTAACCTCATATTTTGTCAATTTCAGTAAAAATAAAAATACTTACATATAAATAAATACATACAATACGGCTCTTGCTTTGACTGCCTGTCATTCTACATGGGCTTGCTCATCTCTGTAATAGAGTGTGTGTGAGTGTGTGTGAGTGTGTGTGTGTGAATGCGCGTGCGTGTGTTTAGTGGACTCACAGCACAGATGCCGGGGGTCAAAATCATCCAGCACCATTTAATGAAGAAGACAGGCTTGTAGCCAATCATGTCTTCAATGTTTCGGTAGAATCTGTCGCTGCCTGAAAAACAGAAATATTTGCCACTCTTGTTTCCTCCTTCGGCTTAAAAATGAATGACGCGAGTGATTTGTGATGACACTTCGAGGCCCGCTGAGCAAACGTCTCTGCGTTCTCCCCGTTTCCAGCAGAGGGCGCTGTTTCCACTGGCTTGTTTTTCCTTAGTTTTCTCTCGACATATGAATAGTGAGCCCACAGAACTGGACACTGTGATCGAGATTACGTAACAAGTCTTGAGTCATGTCTTACCATACACCCATCCGATACATATGGACTCAAAGATGGCCACAAACAGCAAGCACATGCCGCTGGCGGCATATGAGTCAAAAAGCTGGAAGACGTACATCCCTCCCTGGAAGGAGACAAGGGAGATATCACACGGTGGCACGCAAATACCTTTTTTTATTTGTTGTGCAGTACAGTATATATGGGGTGATATTCTTGGGAAATGTTTTGCAGGGTTGAACATATCTGATTAGAACCTTTTAGTTGCAGGAAATATCAGAAGCAAAAGTTCCTGGAACTGAAAGTGGAACTTCCCCTACATTAATCCCCAGATGCTCGGCATATACTGTATGTCCCCTAAGGGCTGATTGCAGCAATCTGATTGAATGCTTCGTACAATTCTGTGTATAATCCTGCCTTTCATCTTGCGGGGGAAAAAAAATCCAATATATTAGAACTGATAAGGCAGAGAAAAATAATAGCTTTCCCATATCAAAGGAGGTGCACTTTGATTCGTTTAAATCCAGTGAAAAATTGAGATTTTTTTTCTACCTTACTGGAATGAACACAAATCGTAACGTTTTTAGTTTCATTCCTGAAGAGCAGAGGTTGCACAGAGCAGACGCACAGCATGCAGTAGAACAGGATTTCTGACTAACATGCCGCCTACTATCATGTTAGCCACCTTGTCATTAAGAATATTAATGTCATATATTTTCGTCAATACTGCAGTTGAGATTTAATGAGTAATTTTTTTTCAAGGTCCTCTTTCAATGTGGTTTTTTTTTTATACACAACCAATAAATTAATCTGTATTTCAAGAAACAAGATCACATTTATGATACGTAAATGTTTTGGTATCACAGGTTAGGCTTACGCTAAACTAAAGCAAATGGAGCATGAATTAAGACAATTTCTACATTGGACATTGCAGTCCTACGTTGAGTGATATTCTCCTCTGCACACTAAAATGTCTTATTTGCAGTACTGGCGTAGATTCACTGAGGAAAACTCCTGTGTACTTTTTCACTGAAAGGATACTCATGAATAAAATCTGCCATGAATCCCAAAGCAGTGTTACATCAGAGGTCTGAATTGTATGCTCATAAACAGAAAGTCTCAGCACCGTGTCCAATATTTCAACTCGGTAATCAATAGCCTCCCGAGGGACCTTTTCAAACATCCCACTGTGCAATTTGTGCGAGGGCAATTTTGTGGCAGTTCAAAGTGGCAAGATAGATGTGAAAAAGTAGCTGTAAGTATTGGACTTTTTAACATACTGGTGTCACTAGGGATGACATAGCTTGATGAAAATTGCATCTGTGGAGAAGGAATCAAACATTTGTCACAAGTATGTAACTTCAGCATGGTGCCTTTGGTTAGGTTCTCACTTTTAATGGTACATATGGACCCTGTAGAGTACAGAATAGTTCAAGAGTGGGCGGGTGGGTGGACCACAGCGCTTATACAAGCACGAGAAGCTTTTAATGGACGATCTAAGGAACGATTGTCGTTGCAAACTACAGTACAGAAAGATGGCCTTAAAAGCATAGGCGAGGTGGTGGCTACTGTAGATACACAGTATACATTTATGGCAAATGACAGTGTATTAAAAAAAAAAATAACAACAACAATCAATGAGAACACATTCAAATAGACCATAAGGGGCAGAAGATCATACTGGGTGATGCAATCACACAGTTCTGTACCTGCTGGCTTTCAGCTGGTGGTGATGACGATGACAGTGATGATGACAATGATGATGATGTATCGTGGAAGTGAAAACAATTGAATTCTAGTAAGCAGCAGAAACGGGTTAACATAAATGTATACTATATTAATATTTACAAGTACTACGTACTAAAGTGCTTTTAAATACAATGGTGCCTTAATATATGTGTCACCTGACTTTCGGGTTTTTTTCTCGTTTTTTTTTTTTTTTACTTTGTGGGCAAAAATTTGAGACATGAGTGGTGTATGCTGGCAGCGAATTCTACTCAGCTCACTTCACATCAAACAGCAATGGTGTAGTGAACACATTTTCAAAAAAATAATTGATGGCAATCCCAAAGTTTGATTGTGAGAGCGAATGGATGTCCGTCTCTGTGTGCCCAGTGATTGGCTGCCAACCAGTTCAGGGTGTACTCCGACTATTGCCCAATGACAAATGGAATAGGCTCCAGCATGCCCGCGACTCTTGTGAGGATAAGTGGATTAGAAAATGAATGGATGGATGAATAAATGTAATTACAAAGAGAACAATCAAATAACTTTGGGTTTAAATCCGCTACCTTCATGTTGCCACTTCATCGGAATTGCCGTTGACGGGCTAACAAATACTGTAGTGTCAATGTGACAATCTGATAATGCTTCAAGTTATTATATTTGAACACAAACTGTGCAGCAAAACATATAGTCAGACAATAGAACAATACTCACAGACATAGATCTTCTCCTGAAAACTACTAACATCAGTGCAGATTACTGACTAATTTATATTTGTTCATGAAACGATTCGTTTGTCTGCATAACTGTACTATACTGCCTCCTGGTGGCCAAGTACCACACACCATGAGGAGCCTAACAAATTGAACATGATGCTCAATTTTTTATATTTTATACAATTATGTTACGACCTCCCCGTGCCTGCATGGGTTTTCTCCGGGTACTCCAGTTTCCTCCCACATTCCAAAAACATGCATGGCAAGTGAATGGAACACTCTAAATTGTCCCACGGTGTGAGTCTGAGCGTGGACGGTTGTTCGTCTGTGTGTGCCCTGCGATTGGGTGGCCTATTGCCCGAAGAGAGCTGGGAAAGCGACACTTGTGAGGATAAAGCGGATAGGAAAATGGATGGATGGATGGATGGATGGACGTTACAACATGTTTTTCTAAAGTACAAGATTATAGAGTGTGCCTTTCCTAATCAAAAGGCAACCCACAAATATGTTTTTGTGGAGGGCTATGGGACGGATTAATTTCATATCTATTCATTTCAATGAGGCAAGATGATTTGAGAGCTGTGTTTTAAGTTACAAGCATGGCCATAGTGCGAATTTAACTTGTATTTCAAGGCACCACTGTATCCACATTTGAGTGAAAAAGTCAAGTCTCACCTCTGTACACATGATGAGTCCTATGAGGAAAGAAGCGATAGACATGCCGAGAATCAGCAATTCTCTGCGGTAGCCTCTCCTGAACGTCTCTGGGTACATATCCACCACAGCTGTCACCAAGCTTTCCACGCACACAAACTGGGAATGAACGCAACAAGGTGTAGGTCACACAAGTGGGACTATCTACAAATTTTTACTACATTTTGGCCGCCATGACTGCATTTTTATAGAGCATTCAGTAGTTGTTAAGATTCCACCGATTGCTTGGGCATTACATAATAGCACCTTATCTATTGAGGCATGGATTGAATGTTGTGGGCCTGCAAATACGTTGGTGTTTTAATGATTACATATGACAATAGTATCACATCCTGCGGTAATTTAAGTTGGATAAAATAAGAGAAGTTCATCTCATCATGGATAGGTGCGTGTGCTGTGTTTGGTCGTGTTCACCTGACTGTCCAGCCCGAGAAAGATGAGCATCATGAAGAAGAGACAGGCCCAAAGTGGAGACAGAGGCATCATGGTCACGGCTTTTGGGTATGCAATGAAGGCAAGACCAGGACCTGTAACATCGATGTTACAATATTGTCATTAGGCAAAGACGCTTGATTCTTGCCATTACGGTACTAGTCTGATTTGATCTGGGTCCCCTTTATTATTCCGGTGTGAAGCATCGTAGCTTTTTTTTCTGGTTTCACATCATGCATGCATGCTTGCTGCGTGCACATAGATGCTTGCATGCTCACAATTTAATGGCCCCTGAGCTCAGTTTTTCCGTTTTTAATCCTCCAATGCAGTGCATGCATGCATGCTGCGTGCACATCGATGCTTGCATGTTCACAATTTAATGGCCCCATGAGCTCAGTTTTTCCGTTTTTAATCCTCCAATGCAAAACAGACACATTCATCACTCAGCTGGAGAAACTGCGATGTATGACACTGCTGAGTTTGTCGCACCACGGTAGGAATAAATGGCCCAAAACTGAAATGCAGGTGACTGATGATGTTTCTGCATAGATTGTTTTCAAAGCATCACCAAGTGGTTCAAAATAAGATGCAGCAGGCAGTCATGTTATCTTGGTGCGACCTATTCTCGGAGAAGAGTTAAAACTTGTCTCCTCGCTCCCTCTGAGACAAGCATTTTAAATCTCTCACGCTGTCATTCTCACTGAATCATTCATACCAACTTGAATAAATCATCAAGCTGTGGTCTGAGAGGCTGTGCGAGTGTGAAGTGCATTCACATTATGATGGACGAAGGAAATAAAGAGTCAGATGGATGCCAGCCTACAGTACAAGATTTTGATCCGCCCACATCCCAAACAGGTTGCTGCGACTTCTGTTCCTCACTCACCGGATTCCGCCACGGCCTCGATGGGAACGTTCTGTTCGTAAGCCATGAATCCCAGCACGGAGAAAATAGCAAAACCTGCTACAAAACTGGTGCCGCTGTTCAGACAGCACAGCATGATGCAGTCCCTGAGGAGCAAGTCGGGAAGAGATTACTTGCCCAAATGTCATGACAAATTCAAATTCGGACATAGCTGAACCCATTTTTACCTGTAGCAGTTATTGTTGTAGGCATTATAACTTCCAAGGGCAGTAAGGCAGCCCAAGCAGATGGCGTAGGAGAAGAAGATCTGTGTTCCTGCATCCACCCATACCTGTAAGTAATGCAGCTGATGTTATTTACAAGGCAAACTACAATGGAAATTGCCTATAGAGCTCATTCCACTGCTAATTGTTTATTTAGTTCGGATATGCCCAGTGGGCCTGAATCTTTTGGGGCCAACGTGGTGTTTCTTAACAAAAATGATATGCCAATTTTGTGACTGTTTCATTATATCTACGGACCCCTGATAAATCATTTCAAAATTGTTACACCATTATGACCCATACCCTTAACCAAACTATTTTAAAAAATCTTTTCGGGAAGGAAACAGCAAGTGAGATCATGTGGTTGCACAAGTGTACACACCAAAATCATCCAATCACATTCAAACTCATGTTCGATGAGAGTCAGCTCGCACATGTCACCATATAGCGCCTCTGATTAACACCAAACAAATTTCAGATGTACTATTAGGCTTTTTTGGTTGGGTTTTCCTTGCTAGTAGAAGCCTGAAGGTTTGGTGCTAACAATGACCGGATTTTCAAACTGCTAATTGCCTCCACGAAAAGCTGGACTAGCCATCTAGCACACAGGGCAGAGGCCCAGTGGACCTAGATCTTTTGGGGCCAACGTGGTGTTTCTTAACAAAAACAATGCAGGACTGACAAAGTACAACTCAGGACAAACGCACTGACAAAAGGCAAGGAACAAGATAATGTAACATTGCTTGTCAACTAAAAGGATCGGAGAATCCAAAACACGAGAATACAAAACCGAGACTACACAGTAATGAACAACTACTTACAAGAGAAACACAATGAACTACGTAGCAAAGCTATGAGGCAAAAATCGAGAACGTGTAGAAAATTGAAGCACTTGGAAACAGAGTCGTGAGCAAGGTTTAATCATCCGACAGCCAGTTGTCGGCGTGGCAGGGTCCCTCAAGACAGCTAGTAACGAGGCATGACAACAAACAGGTGCGACTCATGAGGGAAAGCCCTCCTATGCCACCTACTGGAGACAAACAGAAATAGCGTCAGGAATCTACCTCTGAAATAAAATTATTGATGTATGTAATATCATCAGTAGTTGGTTCATTTTTTTTTGTGTTTTCTGAAAAAAATTATTTTAAATGACTTTGGCTACTCTTTTAAGAAGGGGTCATGCCCCTTATGAGACGAGTTGGGAGCAAAATGGATATGAAGTAAGGTGGATGATGAAACCAGTTTGAAATTGGAGCACAGGACCTCGGAACCGGCAGGCCTAGCATGGGGTGCTCGCAAATGCAGCACGGCTCTTTGAAAACTCTCTCACATCACCATTCAACCACTAATCTCATTTCACCGCCACGAAACAATACACAAACGCACAATCTTCACTCCCTCCTGCAAGTAACCACGGTAACTTCCGTGACCCCACAAACACAGGCCTGTTCCTGCAGAAGAACAGCTCTTTCTTTGCTAATGTTCATTAATGTTCCCTTTAGTTCTCCCTGGCCCGATGGCCGCACAGCGTAGGGAAACCTTAACGGCCCGGCCTCCGAGAGAATCTCTTGTTGATGTTGTGCCTAATTTAGTTGGCTTGTTTTTGCTCATGTTGAGTCTTGAAAACATGTCCGCCATGCGAAAACTGAAGGATGGCCAGCCCACTCTTACTATTACTATACTATTGCTGCTTACATTCCCATTCGAATAAAGCGTATGGATGTATATTATGGTTGATTTCCTGATCTGAGAGCCTATTTTTCGGGTGTCACGTGCGCTTATCCACGCCCTGGGTCAACCAAGGGCCACCAGTGCGACCTGTGCGTGCGCAAAGGGACAAATCTGTGCTTTCAGCACTGCCTCTGGCCTGGCTGAAGTGATGTCATTGAAACAAAGTTTGCCATTACAGGACTTGTTCTCCTTGATATCAAAATATCAATTGCATTCGGTTCACCTGTGGATGCATGGGGTTTGTTCCTCAAGAAAATATATACTTGGGGTTTTTTAGATCCGGAAATGAATATTTTGATGATATTGTCACACAATTGTCATGAGGTGTGAGTGTGAGTACAACTGGTTGTTCATTTAGGTGTGCTTAAAATGCAAGAAGACAAAGTTTTCCGTAATTTAGTCATACCGATGTTGTGATATACAGCATGTGATGTGTCATTGTGTTACGAACACCGATTTATCTATCCCAAACCCGATCATTTTAAGTAAAGTAATCTCATTAAGTTCTTCCCAACACAGGTGGACAGAAGCAAAATTATCGTTGCAGGAGGGACGTACGCAAGAGGAAGCTCGTTCAAGAAGTATTAACGGCTTGAGCAAGGGTGAGGAAACATTTCAGGTGTCAATGGTAGAGAGTGTGAGAAGTTAGGAGAGGGGGAGTGATGCACAGCACTTGGGAGTGTAAGGAGATGAAGCTGAGCTAACACACACACACGCACACGCACGCGCACACACGCACATGCACACAGCCTGGAAGTGAACAGAGCACTGATTGTCCTTTAACGAAGCCAATTTAACATCAGAGTCAAAAGTAATGTCTTCCTCTGCCGAACAGCTTTGGTTCTATATCACCTGCCTCTGTTTGGGCCTTTGACACCCCCGGCCCCCATTCCAAACACCCACGCACGCGCACACACGCACATGCACACAGCCTGGAAGTGAACAGAGCACTGATTGTCCTTTAACGAAGCCAATTTAACATCAGAGTCAAAAGTAATGTCTTCCTCTGCCGAACAGCTTTGGTTCTATATCACCTGCCTCTGTTTGGGCCTTTGACACCCCCGGCCCCCATTCCAAACACCCCC